AAATCTTTTGAACTTCAAATCCAAGCTCCTCAGAACTCAACCAGCTTTTCTTTCTTTTTTTTATTTTTGTCAGACTTCAGTTGTTGAAGGTAATTCTGAATTCAGATCTAATAATTCCCGAGGACACAGGTATGTTTTCCGTTTTTTCAAAAGCAGCACTCTTCACATTGTAGGTAGAAGTAATGGGTTTTTCTGGGAGAAAAGAGATCACAATTAGGTACAAGACTCTCAATTCTATTTTCACTAAGCTCCTCTGCCTTGTGTCACAAGAATGGAGACAGAAGGAGCTTACTATGTAAACACATTCACTTAGACATCGACATATTGTTGTTAATAAGTTAGTTTGTACTGAGCACCTATCATAGGCTACCCCAGTGGCTGGATTCTCCCTTACTTTATCTTACTTCATCCTCCTGGACAGGGGGGAAATTGACTTGTTTATAATCCAAAGCAAGAAAACATTAAAGATCTAACTCCACTGCTGAAATTCTACTCCATTAATTCACTTAACAGGTATTCAAGTCCACTGTGTGCCAGCAACCCGTCTAGGCAGTGATGATAACAGACAAAGCAGTGACAAAGAACACAGCCCTTGTCTCTTCCTTCCTGGAGTTTGAATGACTATTCTGTTGAAAATCTTTGGAACTTGCCAAATGGGGTTTGATGACTGGAAGCGATTCTTCAACCCCCTTTACAACCAATTTTTTTTAAAAAATATATTTTTAGATATTGATGGAACTTTATTTTATTCATTTATTTATATGTGATTCTGAGAATCAAACCCAGTGCCTTACCCATGCTAGGCAAGTGCTCTACCACTGAGCCCCCAGCCCCAGCCCAATAAGCAATTTTGAATGAGACTTTTTATTCTAAACTATCTGGATGGCTTAGACTCCTCCTTTCTAATGATAATAATCTCTTAAATTATAAATGCTTTTTCACTTTTAAATACACTTTCCTTAGATTTTTTCCCAATGATTTTTTTTCTTTCAAGAATTCTTTTGATATGAAAGAATGAAAAAAGCCTGGTCTCTACAGAACTTGGGTTGGAGGATACAGAGCAGCAACACTAGGATTTGGATGTAGGCCTCACAATCCTTTAGGGGTGGTGCTGGGTATAAGAGGCCTTTCCTCTCTCCTCTGAATATAAAATTTTTCTTGCTGCTCTGGATCTGGTCAGGTTTATTAACAGAAACTATAATGTATCAAGGAAAGGGTTGCTCATAAAGAGAATCCAGAAAGAACTTTGGGTATTAATTCATATTAGATAAAGATGGCAATCTGGTACAGTTCAATATGGGGAACATGTTGTATTACTCAGATGGTCAGTAATATTTTCTCCTTCCTTCCTTCCTTCCTTCCTTCCTTCCTTCCTTCCTTCCTTCCTTCCTTCCTTCCTTTAATGATTGCTTAAGTCCTTGAGGTGTTTTGGAAAAAACAATTGGAATTTACTTCAAGTCAGCTACATTTCATTCTTGGAATTTTTTCCGTGTTTTTAAATCTTATCATGTGTCAGGGAAAAGAGGTTGGTTGTGATATGAAAGGTTGATATCTCCTTAGTCAAAGAATCACAATAGTTTGCCAGAAGTTATTTCTTCCTGGACTCCCCCTACAAATGAGTGGAAAGATCTGGCTGGAGCTTTAGACCTTGAACTATTCACTTCATCTTTCAATGTCTCAGATTCTTCACATCCATATCTCTATCTATCTATCTATTCAATCATATAATTATTGAATGAAGATATGAACACAAATGTTTTAGAAACTCTAGAACTTCTTTAATCACACACACACACACACACACACACTCACACACACACTCTAAAACTTGGTTCTCAACCAAGGGAAATGTTACCCCTCAGGAGACATTTGGGACATTTTGTAATGTCTGAAGACATTTTGGTTATTACAAATTGGTGGCAGTGGGTGGTGTTTCTAGAATCTGGTGGCTAATGGCCAGAGAAACTGCTCAATATTTTACAATACACAGGACGGCTCCTCTGCACCCAAGAATTATCCAGTCCATCATGACAATAGTGCTGATGTTGAGAAATCTGGTCCTGGAAAAGTGTACAGATTTACAATGATGTCGTTGTGTGATCTAGAGGACACTACATATGTAAGATCAGGACACTGCCTACCACAGATGACAAAATATTGTACCTGTCAAAAAGTTAAGAGGGCTGGATAGATGTAATGGACAGCTTACTGGCGGATGGAAATCTACAAAGTGAAAGATATTCTAAGAAGTTGTTCGAAGGAGGAAAAAAAGGAGGCATGAGAAGACATCTGCAGGGGTCCTACTGTAGCATTCCTCACAAAGGTGAAAGAGGGTGCTGAGTATTATCAGGGTCTCTGTCTCAGTGCCTCCCAGGCTGGCTGAGCCAGGTCTTGTGAAATCAGCCACACGGCTTGCATGATTGTCCAAACAGGACAAGCTGGATTGTCCTCTTCTTCATGTGTTATAGAAAATCTTTCCTCACCAATCTGATTGTAGCTGTTCTCCAAGACCAGCTGAGGCCAAGCAGAACCAAAGCACTTTTTTTTTCCCCTTCTATTCCATTTTCTCCCTTTCTTTCCTCTCTTCCCTTTTCTAAGTTCGCTCCTGCCCATTCTGCTACCAGGGGCAGGGAAAGCTTGTGAACAACTCAGGATGAGGAAAAACAATGGGGTGGGGTCGGGGGGAGACAATGCTCTAAAATTAGCACATGAGCCTTTTTCCAAGCCCTGCTGTCTCCAAACAAACTGTTCTTTCTGAATATTTTTCATTCCATAAGTCTAAGCTAATATTTTGGCAGGAAGTGTGCACCCAGCTAGACAAGAGAACAATAGCCTGTTTGATATGAGATTAAATAGTCTGAAAAAATATTTCAATACTTTGCCATTGATGGTCTATTTAATTCAGCAAATATTTATTTATGTGCCTAAGGGGTAGGCTGTGTGAGCCCAGAAGAGATGAATACAGGAGTGCAGAGCATGCTGGGGAGCTGGGTGGTTGCCCAACTAATTGTGTAATAATCAGCTAAAATCAAGAGCTCTGAGGGTTCAGGGAAGGGAGGACTTAAATGTAAGCAGGATCAACTACAAAGGCTTCTGATACAAGGTGGATATATATACACATATATATATGAATTCATATATACATATATTTATATTTATTAAATGGGTATTTATGTAGTAAGTGTATATTACTACATAGCAGCAATATATTGTATAGTAGTTTAGTTTCAACTGAGGGAATAAACTCAGTTTTTTGTTTGTTTGTTTTTTGGCACCAGGGATTGAACTTTAACCACCGAGCCAGATCTTCAGCCCTTTTTTATATTTTATTATAGTCTCACTGAGTTGCTTAGGGCCTTGATAAGTTGCTGAGGCTGGCAATGAACTCATGATCCTCCTGCCTCAGCCTCCTGAGTCACTAGGATGACAGGCATGTGCCCACAGGCATGTGCCAACGTGCCCAGCTACACTCAGTTTTAATTGAGGAATAAACTCACAAATACCTTAAACAAAACCTTAAAATCTCTGGATTTAGTATCAAACAATCCAGGGTTTTTTTGTTTTGTTTTGTTTTGTTGTGTTTTTAAAAAATTTTTTTTAGTGTTGGGTATTGAATTTGGGCTCTTGACCACTGAGTTACATTTCCAGCCCTTTTTATTTTGTGATAGGATCTTATTAATTTGTACAGGCTGTTCTTGATCTTGTGATTCTCCTACCTGAGGCTCCCAAGAAGCTGGGATTGAAGGTGAATGCCACTATGCTTGGGAAGTGTTTTAATTCTACCTCCAACACTATTCACTCATGTGAATTTGATTATTATTCACTTAACAATTATTATTATTATTTGGAGTAGTATCACTGTGATTATTAGTGATTATTTTTGTTGTTGTTATATAATAATACCACTCCATGGAGTTCCAATGAAAAGATTCTCAATTTCAGGAGAAGATAGTAGTTGGGAAAAGGAAACTAGATATAAAATAGACTGTCAACAGGAAATAGACTAAAGTAAGAAGGAAAAGTACTCTGTTTACATGTTTTCAATCATGGAGCATTATTTATAAAGGTAAAGTATAAATTACAAATTAAAGGTGGAAGATTATCATAAATACAGTTTTTTTCCTTGTGTAAATTGTGGAAAATAATAAGTTTCTTCCCAAGGTGTTGGAATGAGGGTTAAATGAGTTAAATGCAGGCAGAGACCTTGCAGCAGTATCTGTCATACAGATATTAAGACTTCTATAATTAATACTATCAATCATAAGATGCAGAAAATTTCAGAGAATCTTTAGTGAATCTATACTTTGAAGTGGAATGAGAAAGACACAGAACAATGGACTTCTACTTCATAGTTTTCTCTTTTGGATTTTAAAAAATTCAGTAAAATTTTAAATACTATGCTGTCAGACACATCCAAATCATAATTTGTATTTTTATCATGTGAGTATGTAGAAGAATTCAACCTTCGAGTGCATGGACTTTGGATGGAGAAACATAAAAGGATAAACTTTGATTTTGACTTTTACTTCTTAGATAAACTTTCCCAATAGTAAGCTCACCTAATCTCAATTTTCTTATCTATGAAACAGGCAGAATAGCACCTATCTCACTGGATTAGACACTATAGTAAAATAGACTGATCTAGCGTGTATCTTACTTGAGTACATTCTCAGTATATATTAGTTTTTCTTTTTGGGATGCTGGGGATCAAACCCAGCACGCCAGGCAAGCACTCTACCACTGAGCTACATCCCCAGCCCAGTTTTCTATTTTTATATTGTTCTATCATCCTTTCTTATAATTTTATGTGAGTTTCCTTGCCTTTTTTTTTTTTTTTCTTTAATCACCAGGTGAATTCAAGCTGACTTCAATGGAGAACAACACAGAAGTGACAGAGTTCATCCTGTTAGGATTAACAGATGACCCCAAAGCTTCAGGTGCTGCTCCTCTTGGTATTTTTATTCATCTACCTCATCACTCTGGTTGGGAATGGCGGTATGATGGTGATCATCCTCTTAGACTCCCGTCTCCACACTCCCATGTACTTCTTCCTCAGTAACCTCTCCTTTGTAGATCTGAGCTACTCATCAGCTGTGGCTCCCAAGATGGTGGCTGCAATGCACACAGGGAACAAGGTCATCTCCTATAATGGATGCGCCGCTCAGTTCTTCTTCTTTGTGGGTTTTGCCACTGTAGAGTGCTACCTCCTGGCCTCCATGGCCTATGACCGCTATGCAGCAGTGTGTAGGCCTCTTCAATACACCACCACCATGACAGCGGGTGTGTGCACACTCTTGACTCTTGGTTCCTACGTCTGTGGCTTCCTCAATGCCTCCATCCACACAGCAGACACCTTCAGTCTCTCCTTCTGTGGGCCTCCTGAAATTAATCATTTTTTCTGCGACAAGCCCCCTCTCCTGGCTCTCGCGTGCTCTGACACACACACCAGCAAGTTGGATGTCTTAATTGTTGTGGGTTTCAATGTCTTATTCACCCTCCTGGTCATCCTCATCTCTTACCTCTTCATCTACGTGGCCATTCGAAACATGCATTCTTCTGAAGGATGGAAGAAGGCCTTCTCCACCTGTGCTTCCCACCTCACCGCGGTCTCCATCTTCTACGGCACCATCATCTTCATGTACTTACAGCCCACCTCTGACCAGTTCATGGACACAGACAAAGTCGCCTCTGTGTTCTACTCTGTAGTGATTCCCATGTTGAACCCCTTGATCTACAGCCTGAGGAACAAAGAAGTGAAAAGGGCACTCTGGAAAATATTCAACAAAAATAATCCCCAATCTTTAAGTGTGAGCAGGAAGAAGTCAGGAAACTAAGGGATAAACCATCTCTCAGACCCAAATGCCTTCATGGCTTTTGAGGTCTGGGCGATTTCAGTTCTTTCTTCCCCAAGAACAGTGGTTATTTCCTCAGTGAAGAGAAGTTGTAAGAAGCAGCACTTTGAAATGTCTCACTCAGGAAGATAATCTTAGGTTTAGAGAACAACTACATGGGACATTCAGACCCTTCCTCATTAGCTTCTTGATGTGGTTTAAAGCAGAAGATTAAAGGCTACAGCTGAATGTACTGAATTTCCCCTCCCTATTTTTAACTGTAAGATAATTTCCATTCACTATTAAATTTGGAATAAGGATCATATCATATTTGTAATATTTGTCAACAACAATGCACAGTATTGTGTTTTGAAATTCTTTGGCCTATGGATTTGAAAGTTAGTTTCTTTTTTTAATTAATGATTATTTCAATTATATATATTTATGGATTATCATGTGATAATTTAATACACTTAAACAATATGTAAAGATCAAATTAGGATAATTAGCACTTCCATTTCCTTAAACTATTTTTTTGGTCAAATTTCTGATTAACATGTAATTGTTTAATGTGGACAAAAGATGTTTCAGTGATTATGTTATTTATTTATTTTTATGGTACCAGGGATTGAACCCAGAGACACTTTTTCACTGAGCTGTATCCCCACACCTTTTTAATTTTTCATTTTGAGATAGGGTTTTCCTAAGTTACTAAAACTGACCTCAAAATTATGGTCCTCCTGCCTCAGCCTCCTGAGTTACTAGGATTACAGTTATGTGCCCCGCTTCAGTGGCTTTAAGGTTTCAGCAAAGGTGGCAATTTCAAGGAGAGGGCACTGGACCAAAAGACAGATGATCTGGGGTTAAATCCTTCCACACGTCAGCCCCACTTACATTTCCACTCTCTCACAGGTTCTGTGCCACTCTATCCTCCATCTCCTTCAACTGAAGTTCTGAGGTCATTCTGGTAAATTACTATTATTATATTATATCATTATGTTATTATATAATAATAATTATTATTATTATTTAAAAACAAACTGCCTTTTATATGGAAGGATGAAGCAGTTTCAGTAGATGAATTACTTATAATTTAACCTGAAGAAACATACCTTTCTTTAGAGAACCTGTGCTCTGTTCTACGCATTTGGTTTCTGTCTAGCTTAATTACCAAAGCTCGCAAAAGATTTGGAGAATAAAAGCAGTTTTTCCAAGGGCTGTGAAAGAAGATATTTGTCTTCTGAATTAAATTATTACATTTCTCATTACCTTTAAGTTTGATAAGTCTATTATGGATACACATAATAGTTTTCTAGGCCCTCTTTGCTTTTACTTATTATTATTATTATTATTTTAGTAATTCATCTCACTTTTGGATTCCTGTTGCCTTCTGAGGCTCTGTAATTAGGTGCTATCAGAATGTTAAAAAATCTTCCCGGAAAAACAATCTGCCTGGAAACTTACTTCTTAAGTGGGTGATGTGATAATGCACAGTGCTAGTCCACCTTTAGGTCTTGTTTCATGTGCTAAATGGTGTGAGCAAATGTGTGTGCGTGGGTAGAGAGCGTTTCATTTTGCTTCTCACATATCAACTGCTTGATGGTGTTTTTAGCTATAATTAATCTAAGTCTCCATGCAGTTCAGGACTTCGGCATGTAAAAAGAAAAACAAAAACTCTTCCAAAGCAAACAAATTAATTTTTTAGTTTAAATGTGAAGCCCAGAAATCGTCGTTGTCTAAATCAGCTGGCTTAGAAGATCAACTTAGTTTTGAGACTCTTGGACACTATCACTCACAGGGCAGACTCCTTCTGGGGAGAGTAAATCATAGGTCGGGTGGAGAAAGGAACAAAGAAGGACTTTTGGAACAGGAGGCCAACCTGTAGGAAAAGTTTTCCCTGGCACATGGCCACCACCACCTGGAAAGATCAGGAGCTTCCGACTCCATGGTCTGGACAACCTGTAGCTGCCTCGTCTCTCCTGCCTCCCCTCTTCGTTAGCAGGTAGCCTCATGCAGCAGCACACAGAAGAACAGCCTCTAAAGACCAGGATGTTCTGCACATAGGTGTCCTTCCAGGACTTAGGGGAGGTTCCATGGCTTCTGAGTGCTGGAGTTGGAGATGAGCTGGGAGCGGCTCCCCAAGCACCAAGTGCATTCCACTCCATTCAGCTGTGTCCCCCACTTGATGTGATTGACATTTCCTCCTCTTCCTGTTCTCCCCTCTCTGTTTTCTCTTTCCCTTTTTCTCTTCCTCCTTTTCGTCCTCATCTTCTCTTCCTTCTTCTATGCTTAGCCCAAGCAAAAACTTTCCTCATAGCTAAGCCTCTAGATCTGGATGAAAGACAGAGGTTTGGGATCCATATGTCATAACTGTTACAGGACACAGGAAGGTGAGTTTCTGGGTGTGTTTCTTTATGCCCCTACATTCCAGGTTAGGCCGAAAGGTGTGCATCTTCTAAGAGTTAAAGACCTGATGCCTACATAGGTCTATTTTCTGTTGAAATCACCTCAGAAAAGGATAGTATTCGAGTGCAAGTGGGTATACAACAATACTATTTTTAGTATCAAGAGCTGGACCAAGATCCTTATTCTTCTCATCAGTTGTCTGGCCTCAGAGACGTCATTTAGCCTCTCTGCACCCAGTACACAGGATAAACTGTGATGATAGCATGAAATGAGTATGTGAACATGCCCATCATGAGGAACCTGTGTTTAGCACAGCCGAGAGCCCTATGCTAGCCCTTCACTGAGCTGACCTTGCGCTTCCCCCTTTGACTCCTCAGCTCCCTCACTCCCACCACCCCATCTAAGCCCAAGTCTCTACTTTCAACCCTTGTTCAACCTCCTCTCCTTGAATCTCCCAGTTCACTAGGACACGAGAACGTTTTCTTCTTGAAACTAAAACAAAGTGGTTTATATTTGCTCAAAAAGATACTGCAACAAGGACAAATGGTTTAGTAACAGGGAAACCATTCATAAGTAAAAAGTTTTTCCTAAAAAACAAGGGCTGAGGCTGTAGCTCTCTGGTATAGTGCTTGCCTCGCATGTGTGAGGCACTGTGTTCAAACCCCAGCACCACATAAAAATAAATAAAGATACTCTGTGTTCATATACAGCTAAATAAATATTTTTAAAAAACCAGAAATACTATTATTCAAGCTGGTCACCTACTCATTTACTCTTGAATCTGAGTAATCTCTAGGTGTTTGAAAAATAAAATCCACCCTCCCGGGATAGTACTTTTCCACTAGTGAGGAGAGAGAGTGAGCGGACTCATTTCAATGAGTGAGTGGTTTCATTTCAAGCTGGCATGACATGAGTGCTCACTTACAGAAGCTCTCAGAAGGAGATGTCTTGTCACTAGCAAGGTGTCAGTGGGCAGAGCACACATTACAGTGGGGAGCTTTCCACTTCCACAGGGGAGATCTGTCAACCGAGACTGGATGCCCACGTGGTGATTAACAACTCTCCTCTCCCTGCAGGAATGAAGGAGAGGAGCTCTGAGAAAGACCTGCCACTCCAGGCCATGCTACAAGGTACTTCCTATTTGAAACATCCAAAGCAGACCGTGAAAACCCATACATCCGGGCAATCACATATATCAGCTTGGATTATTCTTTTGAAAAAATAATGTGAGTCTCTGTGCATTAGATGACTTGTTTGGCTTTTGGTATAAGGAGTGAAAAAATTAAAATGTTAGAATTCCTTGACAATTGATGCTGAAATTGCAGAGTCATGGACTCCTTAATCCTTGTAGAATCTTTAAAAATAATCCAAATAGTACAATTACTATGTGTCAATTAAAAAGAAAATTAATGACATTAAACAAAACAATCTAAATCAACTCTCACATTTTACAATTGAAAGCCTGAGCCCCACAGTTTAACATGCTTGTTAATCTCACAGAGAAGCAAATCTTGCTTGACTCTTTTTGATACTCTGTACTCTATGCAATATTGATGAGTCAAAAGACATCCTTATTTTTTTTTTTCCACATTTTTTGGGTGCATTATATTTATACTCAATGGTGTGATTTGTTGTTAGGTATTCATACATGCGCACGATATAACATTATAATCTGATCAAAATAATTCCCCAGTCCTTCCCTCTCTATCCCCTCCTCCCACCCCTTGGTCTTTTTTCCTCTATTCTGCTGATTTTTTATTTTTATTTTCACTTTTCTTTTTTTTCTTCTTCTCTAGTTTTCATAGTTTCCACATCTGAAAGTAAACACAGAACTCTTGACCTTTTGACTTTGGTTTATTTCACTAAACATAATGTCCTAAAGTTCCATCCATTTTCCTGCAAATGACATAATTTCATTTTTTAAGGCTGTATAAAACTCCATTGTGCATATATACTACATTTTCTTTATCCATTCATGTATTCATGGAACCTAGGCTGGTTCCGTAGTTCAGCTATTGTGAATTGTACCGCAATATACATGACTAGGCATGTATCACTGTAGTATGCTAATTTTTTAAAATGTCTAAATTTTTCATTTGTTCACCATACAATAGGTTTTGGGGTTTCAGTTTTGCAGTTGAGGAAACCAAAGCTTTGAGAAATTACTTACCTGACTACTGTTTAAAAAGAGGAGTGAAGATTTGTACCTCTTTGTCTTCCCTACCTAATCTGCTGAGAAAAGAAAAGCAGCCATCTATTTGGTGAATTTCAAAAGAGGTCTTATTTGATGTTCAAATCGCTTACTGTCTTTCGGGATGAATCCTTATCATGTGGAAAGTGCTCTGGAGAACACAAAGACATGTCAGAGTCTAAGATGTAATTCCCACTTCAGCAAAACAAAGCTTCCTGAATATGTGTTGGCTGATGTAATGCACTTTGAGGTTAATGACTCAAGTGTTCAATAATCTTGCCAGCAGGAATTTTCCCTGTACTCCACAGAACAGGAATGGATGAGGGCATATTTGTGCTCAGTCTCCGTGGTTGGAGTTGGCTCTTTGAATGCTGCAGCCCACAGAGAGAGCCAAGCTCCAGCCACT